GTGAGCTGTCAGTTCAGCTAAGGCATCACTCGTCTGTTTTTCCGGGCTTTGTTCTACCCTGAAAGAGAACCGCCGGTCCGTGAGACACAGACTGGGTCCCGAGACATCAAGCCCACCCGCGCTGGGCACGCACCGTGCGCGAGGCGGCGTGCTTAACCTGTGCGGGTACCGAGATGACGAAGACCAGGTCCCGCCCGCCAGGACCCGCAGAATGAGGCTCAGCAGAGTGCGGGGACGAGGGGAAACAGGGCCACAGGCTCCTCCTGGGTGTAATGGCGTGAAACGCAGGACCGGTAGAATCAGTCCCGCACCTGGTAGAAGGGAGAGGGGGCCACCAGCTGAGGCCCCGCGGCCACTCACCTCGCCTGCTGGCACACGCAGCACAGCCACAGCTTCTCGCGCTTCTGGTAGGAGCAGCAGCCCTTGCAGACGTTGAACCTGCAGTCCCCGCAGCGGCGCTTGGTGTTGACGAGGAAGGTGAAGGGTGCGCAGCAGCGCATGCAGCAGTGCTCCACGAACTTCTGGTGCTTGGACAGGATGCTGCACTTGCTGCCCTCCTCATCCAGCTTCTGCCTCAGCTCGCTGGGGAGCCGGGGTGAGGGGAGGGTGGGGAGAAGAGAAACAGCACATCAGGTCAGGGGGCTTGCTCCTAAAGCACCCCACCTTGGCCCTCCCGTGCACCAAGCTCCCGTGTAGGATCTTCCTGTAAAACTACAGGTGATAATTCTGTGTTCTTCTGCATGTCATACGTTCTATGAGAAAGCACAAATAACTTACTGCTTATAGTTCAGACACGACTGAAATACAGATTATTATAAAACTAAGTACACTTCAAAAAAAAACCTTTAGCTTAATGAATGCCTTTTGAAAGGAGATCATTTATGTTAAAACATTAATCTTCACAACAGCCCTGCTGGGAATACGATAAATGCAGTCCTGTCCCTTAATATCCCTGGAAACGGAAGCACCAGGGATTTTAAAAGCTTTCCAATCGATGTGAGTCAGCAAAGATTCTCTGAGTGATGGGCTAATCCTAAACACCGGTGATTCAGAGTTGGATAAAAGACAAGCCCCTTCTTCCAAAGAGCTCGTGACGTACTGGGCACACGACCCCCCATTCTGATGCAAACACATCGCACGCCCTCCTCTCTACACTCTGAGAAGGAAAGGAGAAACCCCCAGAGGCAAGGATCTACTCCCGACACACTGGGCTACCCAGGAGAAAACTGACTGAAGTGACCAAGTTTCTCTGCCTTGGCCAGCTTGAGCTGTTCTTTCCTGTTTAAAAATGGACGCCCGCAAAGAGTAACAGAAAAATAATCAATTCTTCTGTACGCATCTTGCGACTGTGCAATTCATCCCGGATGAATCTATGACGTACGTGCGTGGCAAATATTTTCTTTCATTTTGCTCTTGTCTTTTCAACTTTGCTTACAGTATCTTTCATCATTTAGAGGCATTTAATTTTTCTGTAATTAAGTCTGCCAGTCTTCTCTTCTGTGGCTTCTGAGTTGTACATCTTGCTTATTAGGAAGAGCCATACTATCCCCATCAGGTGTTTTTTTTTTTTTTAACTGAAGCACAGTCTGTTACCATGTGTCAGTTTCTGGTGCACAGCACAGTGTCCCAGTCATGCATATACACACATATATTCGTTTTCATATTCCTTTTCATTAAAGGTCATTACAAGGCATTGAACAGCACAGCTCCCTGTGCTGCACAGAAGAAACTTCCCCATCAGTTTTTAAACACAGTCACACAACCTTTGCAGTATAGAGAACAAGCTAGTGGTTACCAGCGTGGCAGGGGGCAATACAGCGGACAGAAAGTGGGAGGCACGAACTACTGGGTGTACGACAAGCCACAAGGATGTGTTGTACAACACGGGGAACAGAGCCAATATTTTGTCATAACTGTAAATGGGGTATAACTTTTGAAAACTGTATGAAACATCAATACAAATGGCCAATGAAAAATATAATCCGTCTGGTGGACTGAATGGTGGCCCTCCAAAAGGAACATCCATGCTCTAACCTACCAGAGCCTGAAATGTTGCCTTCTTTCAAAATGGGTCTTCGGAGATGTAATTAATTTAAGGATCTCGAGGCGAGGTCATCCTGGATTAAACATGGTAGACTCTAAACACAAAGAGATGCAGCGGAGAGGACATGGAGTTAAAAAGTCCTGGGCCATCTCTAGGATTCCTCCCGTGGCCCTGTCACTGGCCCTGTCGCTGGCCCATCTTTGCCCATCCAGGCTCCCTTCTGGCCCCTCCATGGCCCACCTGAATTCTCAAAATTCATGCCCTAGATGGTAAACAGTGGCTGTGTACACAGGAGTCCATGAATCAGGACACAGGTGAGCAAAAAGGAAAATACAGAGAGGCTACATCAGGCCAGCTGATAACTGTATAGGGTAAAATATCATACATGGATACTTGGTTGAACAAAATATTCACAGGCAAACAGGACAGACGTTTTTCTCCCCTTAGGATAGGAAGATGCTGTTATCCAGTCCCTCAGATTTAGAGCAGAAGACGGGCTAGGCTGTCAACAGCTCTGACATCTGTAAACAATATAAGAACAGCCTCAGCAATTGACCTTCTTCTATTGATCTTTCAAAGACACTAAATTAAATGGGATAAAAACACCCAGGAAGGAAGGTCTTTGGGGATCAGAAAGGCTCTGTGAACTCAATCCGCAAGATCACTTGAGCTTTATGAGTTTTGCTTCCTGAGACACAGGACGGCAAACTCCAATGGCATTTAAAAACTCGCTGAGAATCTAATCATAAAACGGTACCAACGCCCCACCCACCTCACCCCACCTCGAGTTTGTTCCAAGCAGATGGAGCTTTGCTCCCCAGGCGCAGTGGAGGAGCAGAATGCCCTTGTTCTGAACCATCTCTTACTTCTCAGATTCTACGGCCTACAGGCCAAGAGACTAGCTCTAGCCCACAGCCACGAGCCGCCACTTCATGGTCGCAGACACTACTGTCTAGATTGCCAATTATTCACGCAGTTCTCACTCACTGAGAACCTACTACTCCAGGCACTAGGGGCAAAAAGAAGACAAGGCATAGCCCCTCCCCTCGGTGACACGCGTATTAAAGTGTGGATTCAAATGATTCAAAACGAAAGAGGATTGCACGTTACAGGGCATTCTACAGCAGAATGAGCAGGGTGCTGAGACTGAGAATGCCATGGCAACCTAATTTAGACTGGGTGGTGAGGGAAGTTCTTCCTGGGGAGGTGACAGCAGGGGAAACGGGGTGGGGGGGTACAAGACACAGGCCCTGGGAGGGAGTCTGGATTTGATTCTATGTTCCCTGGGAATTGACTGAGGATGGTGAGCAGAGACAGAGCAGGACCCAATTTTCACTGTAGTATCACCTGCTGTTACGCTAAGACCGACTTCTAGAGGGCTGTGTGTAGAAGCCTGGGGAGCAGGGCAGCAACCTGGGTCCATGGCTGAGGTCTGGGCAAGGGTGGGAGCAGAGGAGATGGAGAGGTGTGGGCAGATGCAGGGCACACCTGCTGAACGATCTGGAATGAACCAAGAATCATTCCCAGGATTCTGGCTTGGGTGGCGGGTGAAGCCATTTATGGAACAAGGGAAAACCATGGTAGTAGGTGCACATTTTAGTGACAACGGTGAGACATCTAAAGAGTTTGCCATGTGGACAACTGATAGGCGTCTGAGCATTCCAGAGGAGGGTTCTGGGCCAGCTGCGTAAGTTTGGGAATCACCTTCATCCCCATCTTCATAAATACGAGAATGGATGAGCCACCCCAGGGGAGAGGGGGCAGCAAGGGGAAAACAAAGGGCCGAGAACAAGCCAGGGAGACCCCAAATGGTTACACTCAGGCAGAAAAGTTGAAGCAGAGAAGCCAGACAAAAAGACTGAGAAAGACACCAAAGGAAGAAGAGGTTTCAGAAAGAGAATGGCTGACTGTGTCTGCCATCAGGACAGAGAAGTGCCCACTGGGTTTGGCAACATGGAGATCACAGGTGCCCCTACGAAAGCAGTCTCCCCAGGGAAGTAGGGCAGGAGCCTCTGCTGTGGACAGCAGAGCGAACAGGAGGGGAGGCAGTGGATCAATCATGGACGACTTCCGCCAGGAACGTTATACATGCTTTTAAGAGCCAGGATCCAAAGGGTGAACCCAATGGATGGGCTAATAACAGTCATGATCATTTAACAGAACGCTTTGCTTTTAATATGTCACGGGTAGTACCACTTCCTCACTATGTAATTTCAGGCAGGATCTGTTTGCTGCCCCCTGATGGTGTTATCAAAATTCATTCAAGGTTAATAGAGTTCAGTGTATCACAGTACAGAAAATAAACATTTAAATATTCCCTCTGGATGACAGAGTTAATGGACACACACCAAACACACTGTGTGATTGCCAGCTCTGAAATGGAGCAGACCATTTAAAAACAGAACTTTTGACGGTCCCTTCAGCCCTGTAAGCTGGAGCGTCCACTATGTCCTGCACAGTTCATGTGAGCATCGTCTGTGAAGGTGTTATGGGGGCTCCATCAGCCTTAATTTCTGCAGCCGGCTTAGTACCACAATGGATGCTGGAGAGAAGGTGAGGATGCTGGCTCTGCTCCTGACAGCTGCAAGTTACTCAGCTCTCCTAAGCCTTGGTTTCTTTCTTTTTTCAGAAATTTGTTTTATGAAAAACAATTTTAGAGGGGGAGATAATTAAGTCTACTTATTTGTTTTATTTTTGGAGGAGGCGCTGGGGATTGAACCCAGGACCAAGTGTATGCTGAGCACTGAGCTATACCTCCCCCCTCCTTGCTCTCTTTTTTTCTTCAAAGAAGGATACCAGCAGAATACGGACCACAGCTAAGAGTGGTTTGTGAAATAAACTCTAATGAACTAAATTTTTAAATAGGCATGTTTTGATGTAGTAATAGGTGTTCTGTCATAAATGTTTCATTTATGAGCATCACAATGTCTTTAAAAGACGCAAAGTACAAAAATGACATCAGTGGCCCAGCGCATGCATGCATAAAAGGCCGTGTGGTGGCTAGAGGTGGGGGCCCAGGGCTGAGGCAGGAACAGCAGATGGCAGACACCCTGCTCCAGCCATGCTACTAAGCTAGTCACATGGTGCCCACCCCTGGTGCAGGGTCTGGCTCCCTGGCAGAGGGGAAAGCAGGGAACCCCTAGATCTCCGCTCCTCTGTTGGTGCCCTGCCGTGTCACTGCTGGTCCCAGACTCCATGTCCACTTGGCGGGTGCTGCTGGAATGCTACCGGCATCAGCCTCAAATGTCACTCAGGGTCACATATGGACCCTGATCCAAGCTTCTCCCACCTGTCCTTGCAGCAGACCCCACCCTCCTGGTGACTGGCCACGACAGCCTGGCCCTTGCTCCCTGGGGCCCTAAGATGGACCACAGCGTCCTACAAAAACCCCGAGCCAGTTCACAACTGAACTTGGACTCACCTGCAGCCTGATTTTCTTAGACCTGAGCTGATCACACAAGCCAGAACAACCCAGCACAGTTCCACGAGGAATTGGCAAGGACCAAATGCACCTTGGGAAGGTAGGGTTTTTCTTAAA